CTAACTGGACTGGACAGTTGCACTTCATACTCCTTCAAAATATTGGCATATACAATCAAGGATGGTCCATATACACATGAGATCCAAAGAACAACAGCTGAAAATGGTGAGCTTCTAGAATCGATTCCCATCCATTTTTTTAAACTGTTTTTTGATCAAAATATCAGAATTCGACGTAAATATTCTGGGKTTTTTTTTTTATATAATTTTTTTWAAGTAAATGACTTCCATTTTGAAACGTAAGATTTAAACATGCTAGCTAAAAAAGCAACATATCTCAATTCGAATAATTCTCAATCTTAGTTTGCCAAAGCGATGCAATTGGTATAGCAGACCCTAATATTATACCAGATGACAAGTTCACAGCAACTTCGTGGTATGGTGTTTCAAATGAACCTTGGGCTGCACGTTTGTATGGTACAGATGATGGATGGGCGCCAAATTCACAATCTGACCCCTATGACTTCCTACAGATATACTTGGGTCAAGTGTTTGTTGTCTGTGCGGTGGCTACACAAGGATGCAACGGTTGCCACAAAAGAACTACGCAATATAAAATATCAACATCTGTAGATAAAAATGCTAGAGTATGGGCCATTTACAAAAATGGAATTGCAGACAAGGTATATTTGCTTAGGAGTTATGACTAAAAAGCAAAAGCTAATGAWTAATCATATGACCCGTGCAACTCTGCTTACGCACTCAAATTAAACCATTGGAAAAAGTCACGTGATGAGGGACGGGCGGGTTGACCTGATCTGGCAGAAAACCCAGTCCCCCCCAGCTCACTGTATTGATCAATGGTTTAGCACAATTTTTTGAGCCTTTTTTACGACAAAAATTTGGTCATATGATAAAATGCTGCTATAAGCAATTTCGAAGCACTGCAAATCAGTGCAATTTTAAGAAAATGCTAGAAAGATATCATTGCTAGTTTTCTCGTAGCTGTTTACAGCGAACACAGATAATGATACTTTTGTGAAGTGTTAGATGCTGCAATTTTTTTTCTCGTCGTTTTCTGGTAATGGAAATAATAATACTGTTGTCAA